TCAAATTACTTTGTGGCAACCAATGAAATTTGCCTGGTCCCATGGTATACTTAGCGCTAAATTTGGGGGATGGGTAATGGACCGAATTGTGAACGAGACGCTGGATAAACAATGGTCAAAATAGTTTTTGGCATGTGATATCTTGTAAGATATATCTTGGCCACTGTCTTCATTGAGAGCTCAGTGAGAAAGTAACAACCTTCGTAAGTGGTCGTGATAGGCTTGTTATTTGGCTTGTTACAATTCTAATCAAAATGTTGGAAAAAGCTCAAAAATTGCTTTGCCGACAAAAGACATGCTGCTATTTTTGAATTGAATTCCACGGTTTTTTGGAAGTAAGGGTTATGGTATGTAGTAATCTACGCATTTTTTGGTATCAACTGTTTTCTTTTTTATCTTTTACCTTTCAAAGAGTTTCAGTGTGTTCGTAGTCTCTCCTGCTTTGTTTTTCTGAATCTCCAGATGTTAGAATCATACCCGTTTGATTTCCACTGATTCCAACAGAGAATTAAAAGGGTTTTTCCGAGCAGCGACTGCTCTTTATTCCTGATGGCATTCAGCTCATGTAATCTTCCTTTAGACAAAGATTCCTACAGGGAAATATATTTTTCACCTTTATACAATTGATCAAAAGGAGAAGTGAAACCATTCACCACTTTAGGCTAATAGATTTTTTTTAAACATTTTGTGTGACCTTTCACGGAAAACAAAAGATGCTACATGTTTGATTTCCAGATTCCTGACCTCTGTTGTTTCCAAAACTAAGTCCCGAAGTTGCGTTACTACTTTCAATGCATCAATTTTAAGATTAAAAAAAATGAACTAGATGACAAACAGTTACATTTTTACCTGAAATTGGTAACGTTTGGTACGTGTAGCCACAATTGCAGATCAACGCATTGTTGATTACGGCAGGCTCCAACCAGTTGCCGTTCTAATCAAGTGACCTTCGAAACCCTGTGAATCCTATTAAAAAGGCTATGAATAGTGTCGTTAGAGTTCGTAAGAGGGCTTACTAATAGTCAGCACATGTACATTTCGAACGTGTTTCTTGACTCCAGATTATGATGGAGTTTACAAGCAATGTTGATGAAAAAAAGCCACTCTACTTGATACACATACATTACTTCCCCGAGGTATTACCTCGTCTGTTTTGCTGCGGTATTTTTTCAATTGCTGTCGCACTCGTCTTTACCACGGTGCTACATATTTTCACCCGCAGTGGACACGAGGTGGGAGCATGTGGCAAAGACAAGGTTTTGCGGCAACCTGATGGGTCCATGGTTTTAGGTGGTACTGTAGTAGGCACTGTCCTTAAGCACATGTATACTTTGGAACTTAAACTGTTTTTCAGCCAAGACTAAATAGAGTAGAATAATAGAATTTCAAAGGTGTTGGTATGTGGTTTGTTTTCTCTTTTAGGGTTTCAACATTGGGCATTTGGCCAGAAAGAGAAAAAACAAGGTCAATTCGGTAGACCTACATGTAAGAAGACTGTAGTTTCTCAATAATTGTAAGAATTTTGTGGTAGAAAGAATTGACAAAGAGGGAACTAAAGAGACCTGACAGACAGTTGTTCTTGATTCAACGTCTCATGCTCACTGTTCCCAGATTCCTTTACAAGGTTGTGAACCAAAAATTAGTGCATTTTCCGTTATTTCAACAACAGGATTACAATATTGAGCATTAAGGCAAATCAAAAACTTTTTGCATGGAAAAAAGATACATACACATTCTTAGAACTACAGTAGCTGTTAACAAGTTGTACAAAATGCACCTCTAACATTTCTGGAGTTATGTCCTCTAAGCCATCAACTATATTTTTAGGCAGCTCTTCACTGTCACCCACTGGCTCTTTACGCTGCAATACAACAAGAGATCAAATAACTATTAAAGGTGAACACTAGTTACATGTAACAAATAGATTCCATGTTGCTGTGTATCTGCTCAATAACAGATCACAGATGACATCAAAATGTGGTAACAACAAAGTGGCACACAAGGTGATAGCCGAGTGTGTCACTGAAGAGACACCTGGCAACAACATGGAATCTACTTGTTTTATATAATAGAGAACCAAAAAGAATGTTTATGACATTATCTATGCATCTGTCCTCCAACAGATCATAAGACAGTAAGAACCAATCGAAATGCGCAAATAATTTGAATTATTATATACTAAATAATTTGACTTAAATATTTAACAAATAAAGAAGCCAAAGCTGTGTATTACACTGTGATAGAACACGACGGCATTTGATAACACGAGGGAAATGTAGAAAACACAAGCTGTAGGCAAGTGTTTTCTACATTTCTTGAGTGTTCTCAAATGTATGGAGTGTTTTATCACAGTGTAATACATGTCTTAGGCTTTTTCACTTGCTTTATGATATAAAGGTAATGTGTCAAAAACCAATAAGACATGCTTTTTCTATGTTTTATGCCCAGATAAAACATGGGTTTTTAACCAATCAGGGCGTGTACAGGGTCCTATCTATAACATAATAAATAATAAATACACACACGATCCTCCAGTTTTCAAAATGGCACTCTTTCTCTTAAGTCCCCGCTTTCTTTTCAGACAGGATTTTACAATTTATTGCATAATCAACTGACATTAAGAGCTTACACATGTAAGTAAACAATGTAGGGACATATGCACAAATAGTGGAGATTCAAACTTATTTTTCGTTCAGAATTTTTTACATCATTTTTGACAGTTGATTTCTTTAATATGGGCACCATAGAATGGAAATGAAGTGTGCATAGAGAGGTCAAGATATGACACCATTGTTATGGCTAAAAATAACAGCATAAAGACTTTATGCTGTTATTTTTAGCCACTTAAGTCAAAACTGATCAAAAGTTAAGTCTTAACATGCACGTAAATTGTTGCATAGAAATTAGATGGACACCATTGCATGTTGTTCAAGACAGTGACAAAACTCATTGGTGTTTCAGCAGAGAACGTACATGTAACAACAACACCAACAATGTATTTACAGTACCTCATAAAAATAGAATATTTCTAATAATAAGTAATAATTTTTTATTTGAGGAAAACAAACAGAGCTGATGTGCACCTAAAAAAACTATACAAAGCTAAACTAGTCAGGCACCCATTTAATAATACAATGCAATCAGTCTCCAAAGAACTAGTCAGTCTCAATGATAAAAGGTGATAACAAATGCTACTTTTAAATATTGTACGTGTACATGTATGCATAATAGAACAACAGCTTAAGTTTGATATTTCTATCCTTCTATTTTTACAGAAAGAAAACACAGCATAGTATATATCATTGACAATTCAGGAACTTGTTACACATTACTGTTATGAAAATAAAAGGATTACAAAAATGGCTCTGCATACAGTTCACAGGCTTGCACATCATCTAGCTTAAATTTCAAGACCACTGAACCATATCAAAACATAACTTGCAATTTCTGAAAATAGTAAACTCTTCTGAATTTTCTTTGACAATCGACACAACTATCTTGTTCCTTTCAATATACATTTTGAAAATTTTGAAGTTTCGACTTTATTTTCCCGCTTTTGTGCACTGACAAAATTGCTACAAAATGCTCTTTAAAGCATAACCTGGTCATTTTTGAAGCATTACTATAATTCAGGGAAATAGAAATGATGTTCAAAATAAAGATAAAACAGTAAAATTGGTCTGTGATCCTAAGAAAGAGCCTCAGAAATGGACCAAGACAAGAAAGTTCAACATGAAATGGCAAGCTAGGCATCTGTGATTACCAGATGCTGAAGAAACATATGGTTTGTAAGTCATTGCAGATATTTTTTTTGGAGGGGAGTCATCTTTCTGGGTGAGTGAA